AGCCCCGGCAGTCCGACAGCCCACTTATAAAATAAACACACAGACGCTTATATATATATATATATATATATATATTTTTTTTTTTTGGTTTTCAAGACAGGGTTTCTCTATGTAGCTTTGCGCCTTTCCTGGAGCTCACTCGGTAGCCCAGGCTGGCCTCGAACTCACAGAGATCCGCCTGCCTCTGCCTCCCAAGTGCTGGGATTAAAGGCGTGCGCCACCACACCCGGTCTGGTCTCCTTCTTCTTCATCCACTTTCACATCCCTAATGGTCGGTCCCCTTTCACTGTCATGACCTTTCTGCCCTTAAGTTCCACCTATGAAAGAAAACTTATGATACTTAGGATTTTTCTGAGTTTGGCTTATTTTGTTTAACTTGATGATCTCCATCCATTTTCTTACACATAGTAATTTCATTCTTTTTTTAAAATTTTTTTTAAAGATTTATTTATTTATTATGTATACAGTGTTCTGTCTGCATGTGTCCCTGCAGGTCAAGAGAGCACCAGATTTCATTACAGATGGCTGTGAGCCACCACGTGGTTGCTGGGAATTGAACTCAGGACCTTTGGAAGAGCAAGCAGTGCTCTTAACCTCTGAGCCATCTCTCCAGCCCCCGTAATTTCATTCTTTATGGCTGAATGAAACTCTAGTTATCTGTAAACAGTACATTCTCTTTATCCTTTTATCCCTACAACAAACAAAATGTGAGTACCAAGGCTGACTCACATCTTGTCCATTGTAAACAGTGCAGCAATAAGTTTAGATAGTCAAGTGTATCTATTGCATGCTGACTTTGGTCCTTTCGGGTATGAAAACAGGAGTGTTAGAGTTGGATCATGTGGATAAATTCTAATCATGTAGTTCAAGTTTTCATTTATTTTAAGGAACTGCTATAAGTGGTCTGCATGGCCATTGGACAGTTTACATTCTCACCCTATTACAGTCCCAACTAGTGTATGAGGATTTCCTTTTCCCATGCATCCTTGCAAACATTTGTTGTTAGAGTTTTCTCAATGATGGACATTCTGACTGTCCATGGAATGAGATGGAATATCAATGTAAGATTTACTTATTTCTTCTGTTGTTTGTTTGTTTGTTTGTTTGTTTCAACAGAGTTAAACAAATCTGTAGCCCCAAATGGCCCGGAACTTACTAATTACCCTAGGCTAGTCTCAAACTCATAATGATCTTCTGGCCTCAGCCTCCAAGTGCTAAGATGATATGTGTACCCCACCATGCCCAGATTTCAGGGTGGTTTGCTTTGATTTACCTGGTAGTTGGAATAATGAGTGTTTTTTTTTTTCATGTATTGATCAATCATTTCTACTTCATTTGAAGAGTTCCTGTCAGTTCACTTGCCCACTTTTTTTTAAACTGATAATTACTGACTCTTTTGGTGTTCAACTTTTTTGAAAGTTCTTTATGCATTGTGGATATTAATTACCTGTCAGATGAATAGCTGGTAAAGACTCTCTCCCATTATGTTGTTAGTCTTTCACTGTTATTTCCTTTGCTGGGTAGAAACGTTTTAGATCAATAGAACCCTATTTGTCAGCTCTTGCAATGATTTCCTGAGTTCCTGGAGCTCTTTTCAGAAAGTCCCCATGCCAACATCTGGAAGAATTTCCTCTGCAATTTTTGCTAATAGCTGCAAAGTTTCAGGTGTTATTTTAAGGTCCATTTTGAGTTGCTTTTGTACAGGGACAGAGACGGGCTCTAGTTTCATTTTTTTGCATGTGGACATCCTGTTTTACCAGTCAGAGAGGGTATCTCTTCTCTAGTGTAGGGTTTCAGCACCTTTGGTTTTGTTTTGTTTTTGTTGTTGTTTTGTTTTTCCAAGACAGGGTTTCTCTGTGCAGTTTTGGTGCCTGTCCTGGAACTCGCTCGGTAGCCCAGGCTGGTCTTGAACTCACAGAGATCCGCCTGGCTCTGCCTCCCAAGTGCTGGAATTAAAGGCATGCACTACCACCACCTGGCTGGTTTTCAGCACCTTGACAAGAATCATGTGACTATAACTGTGTGGACTTGCTTATGGGTCCTCCAGTCTGTTGTTTTCCACTGCCAACATGTCTGTTTTATGCTCCTGCCATACTGCTTTAGCTGCTGTGGCACCGTAGCATTGTTGAAGTCAGATATACCTTCCACACTGCTCTTTTTGCTGAGTTCTTTGGCTATTTGGGGTCTTTTGTATTTACACATGAATTTTAAGACTCCCCCCCTATTTCCTTGAAGAACTTCATTGAAACTTAAAAAAGATTCATTTTTTTTATTATTGTGTGTATGTGAGTGTCTGCATAAGTTTATGTGTAACATGTGTGTTTAGGTGCCTGGGGAGGCCAAACACGGGTGTCAGATCCCCTGTAACTGGAGTTATAGGTAGTTGTGAGCCACCTGAAGTAGGTGTTGGGAACCCAGCTCAGGTCCTCTGAAAGAGTAGTTCATAATCTTGTACTCTGAGCCATCTCTCCAGCCCTACATGTATTGGGATTTTAAGAGGTTGTAATGAAATCATAAATATCTTTCAGTAATGTGGCAACTTTAACAATATTAATCTTGTTGAACAAAGGAGGTATTTTGAGTTTCTAATCAGTGGTTCTTAACTGTGGATTGTAACCCCTTTGACAAATCTGTCTCCAAAAATATTTACATTACTATTCTTAACAGTATAAAAATTCTAGTTATAAAGTAGAAACAAAAATAATTTTATGGTTGAGGGTGTCACCACAACATGAGAAACTCTATTAAAAGGGTCGAAGCACTAGGAAAGTTGAGAATCACTGTTCTAGAATCTACATCAGTTTTCTTCAGTCAGTGCTTTATGGTTTTCTTTGTTGTAGAAGTCTTTAACTTCATTGATTATATTAATTCCTAGGCATCTTATTTTATTTGTTGTGGCAGTTGTGAGTACAATTGTTTTACTTATTTCCATTTCAGTAAGACAGTTTTGGTGTATTGAAAAGCCACTGCTTCTAGCATATTGATTTTCATTCTGATACTTTGCTGAAAAGTTTTATTCAAATGTTAGAGTTTTCTGGTGGGGTCTGTAAGGTATAGATCACATAATCAGCACACAGGGATACTTAGGCTTCATCTTCCTTAATGGTACTCCATTTAACTGTTTCTCTTTCCGTATTGCCCTGGCCAAGATTTCAAGCACTACCAAAAGTAGTGACAGTGAACATCCTTATATTATTCCCAATTTTAGAAGTGTTTTCAGTTTTCTCTCTAGTAAATATAATGTTTTTTAATTAGTTTATTTATTTTACATCACAGCCACAGTTTCCCCTCCCACCTCTCCTCCCAGTCCTCCTCCCCTTCCTCTCCTCTTCCCACCCTGCAGTCTACTCCCCCTCCATTTAATGTTACTGGTCAGTTTGTTATATGTCATCTTCATTATGTTGTATAAGTCACATTTTGGTTTTGTGATAAAATACGATGACTAAGAATTTAAGCAGCAAGAGTTTATTTTGTCTTATGTTTCCAGAGGCCGAGTTCATAATGGTGGAAGAGGCATGGCAGCAGGCAGCGGGAGCAGGAAGCTGAGAGCTCACATCGTCAACAACAAACGTGAAGCAGAGAGAGTGAACTGGAAGTGGGTGAGGATATAAACTCCCCAAACCTATTCCTCCAGAAAGGCTCTACTGACTGAAATTCCCACAATCTACCCAAAGTGTGCCACCAACAGAGGACCATGTATTTAAATATCTGAGCCCAAGGGGGTCATTTCTCATTTAGGCAGACCTGGTTTGATGGTAAGACCCTCTCATGGTGGCTCTCTGCTCAAGCAGCACTGAACAAACCAGAAGAAAATGACAATGATCCCTTTTGCATCTGCCTGAGGCACAGATACCAGGTCTCTTGTTTTAAACTATAATTTTGCAGAAGGCAGGACTGCACGCCTTGGGGAGCTCTTTTGCTTAAAGCTTTATTGAGAAGCTCTTACCCCTTCCCTACAGTGTTGTCAAATGCTCTATGCTAGAGTTCACTGTTTCTTTGAAAAACTGAAAATCAACTCTGGCTTTCACTTGGCCTTTGTCTACCAGCTGCTCTCCAGCATCTTTCCACACCATCTACCTCTGTCCACATTCATTGCGTTTTCTTTTAGTCTCTTAGAGATGGAGAAATGTGCTGTGCCATCTTTTCTCCCCGCTAAAGGACATTCTCATTGCCTGTAGATATTACTCATTCTCTTCAGATGCCCACAGGACAATGATTTAAAATAAGAACATCCATAAAAATACCCCATAAGTTTTCAAAGGTTGAAATTTTATGGCAGCCATTCTAACCACGAATGGTTAAACAACTGAACAAATCAATAGCTTTGTGATTTAAATAACATTAAAATAATTATTGGATTAATGATAAAGTGCAATTCCAGAATATTTAGAAAATCACTCTGTGAAAACAGGATGTAGTAAAGCCTATGGGGAGAGATGAGTGGCAGCCGTTGACTGTACTCAGAGGCAAAGTCATGATGTTGATCACAGAACAAGAGGAAGCAAATGCAGTGAAACAAAGGCTCTGTCATAGAAGCTGTGTAACCAGCACCAAGGACATCTGGAACATGAGGTTAGCAGAGGCAGAGTGGTAGTTAATAATTGACAAAACAAATGTGCAGAATTAAAAACAAGCCCTACAGCCGGCTCTTTGTTAAAGTTTAGATCTCAACAAACTTGTGGTACATTTACTCTAGAAGAGAAAAACCAAATACATACCCTTAGGAAGGAAATGAATCAGAACTGCAGATACTGGGGTGATGAAAACCCTAATGAGCTGATGATTCTCTGTAAACTTCCACCAAGACACAGGAAAATGTCAATGATGATGCTTTTCTAGAAAAAAAAAAACCTAAATGGTCAAAATCGAATGAAAATCCCCAATTAAACAACTATATGGAATGTGTGTCCTGAGTGTTTTCTTGAAATGAGTTGGGTCCCAGCAGGTAGGTCAAGTCTAAGTCACAAAGCTGACCATCGTCCTGCAAGGATCATGGGCTGCCCTTGGAGCATCCCTGGATCAAGGTCACTCATTCTTTTTCTGGGAATACTGGGGTTGTGTATCCGCATGTTCTTCCTCACCATTGTGGGTCCTAAAGCAACAGCAATACCTTTCCTGATAGTATTTCCACTGGGTTGCTCTGCTAGAGCTCATATTTTGAGTATTTGACTTATGATTAAAGCACCGCAAAGTGCTTATTTATAAACAAAGAATTGGTCACTTCCCGGTGGTGTGACCCTTAGGGACAAAGGCTAGCTAACTCACAAAATAACTAGGAAGTTGGCTCCAGTCTTATCCCCATAGTTCTGCACAGGGGATCTTCAGTGTGTGAGTGAGGCTCTTAGGTCTCTTTAGCCCTCTTCCACAAGTCCTAATGTCACAGTGCCATCAATCTGCTTATCCAGTTGGGCTACATGGCTGGAACAGTAGCTGGTTTTCAGGATGGCTGAATTCAGACCTGCTCTAGAACCCACAGTATTAGGAACTCAGAACAACTCCTCCTTAATCTAAGGTAATGAATGCCTCTTCTCCCTGTGGTGACTTCATTTCTGGGGTTTCATGGCTCTTTCCTCCCTCTTGATTTTTGTTGAGGGAACTGTGGGCTACCAAAGATATAGAAGCAAACTTCTATGTCTTCAGTCCTTCAGAGAAAGGAGAGGACCATTAGTTAAGTCTTCACTTTCAAGGGTCCTCAGCCCCTTTGATGTATGTGCCTGAGTCCTTCTGGCATCTTCCAAGATCTGATCATTAAAGTTTATGTCTCAGAAAGAAATGGTAAATTCTATCTCTTTGTATATCCAATGACATAGAACTAAGACGATATATTTTAAAGTCTGTCTTTATCTTAGCTTTCATTGAAAAACTCTTAGCACAATGTCTCCATTGTTCAGGGGTCCACTACACTACATAGAGCATGTATTTTCTAGCTTTGCTCGTAATAGACACAGGGCAAAAGCACACTATCTTTTAATAGTACTTTCCCTAAACTAATGCAGAATCCCCTCTGCAGAGCTAAATTGAGATTCTGAATTTCTGTAAATGTACAAAAGCCCGAAGTTTTGCAGATTAGGGAAGAGGTATTTTTTGCTTCAAGATCATCTTTCATTTGCTTTCATGAATTGAGCTCTTCACCATCCCTCCTTAAATACCTCACAGCTGTTCAATGGTAGCAGGGAAAAGCAGATGACCAAGACTTCACTGTCACTGCAAAAGCAACGTAGACCTTGATTCTGGATCATCCGTCTTTTCATATAGAACTGGAAGCAAGAAGATCATTCAACTTAGTGAGGCTGTTTTAGAGTTGAAGAGAATCAGACTCAGGCAGGGCAAGAGACTTGATAAAGGATTCCCATATGTCCCCACAGGGAAGCAGAACCCTGGGACTCTGGTTGCTGATGCAGCAACTCTCCACAACATTGACAACTCAGTCATTTGGTTTCCTTGACTTGGTTCCAGATGCACAGAAGGTAGTTTCTACCACCAGGACACGAGAGACAAAATTGTCCTCCCTCCCTCCTTTTCTTTCTTTCTTTCTTTCTTTCTTTCTTTCTTTCTTTCTTTCTTTCTTTCTTTCTTTCTTTCTTTCTTTCTTTCTTTCTTTCT